ACTGTACTCTCAAAATAGTTTAATCTTGACTTTTAATATAGAAGCAGAATTTTAAAAATATTGGCCAGCCCCCCTATATGCCTTAATATAGTTAACAAGCCTTTAAAAATGTTATTTTTCTCAGAGAACCTATGTCCTGTTCTGAGATAACTTGCAGTCAATTTTGGCTCTTATCCTTCTCTAAATTGCCCTGTTTTGGGCCTGTATCCTTGGGGGATAATTTTCCTTATTCCAGATTCTGTATTGATTTTAGAAGAGGAAAAAAAAAAAAACTCCTGCAATGTGCTGAGCCCCTCATATGCATCAGAAACTGTGCTAGTTACTTAATACATGTCTTAGTTACTTTTTTCACCGCTGAGACAAAATACTTGACACCCAGAGTTAAAGGAGAAAGGTTTATTTCAGCTCAGTTTGTAGAGGATTTAGTCCATAGTCAGCTGGCTCCAAAGCAGGGTGACATGACAGAGAGACATTGCAGAAGTGAAACAGCCCTTGGCATGGCAGGCAAGAAAGCAGCAAGCAGCCAAAGCAATGATCAGCGGCAGCAGCATGCCTGCCTTCTTTCTGTCCCATTATATTCCACCCAGGCTATGTCTATTTATTAGTGACACCCACACCCCGGATGGGATTTCCATTATTCACCCTTAATTCTCATATCACTCTTAAACCAGCCACCTTTGAAACACCCCATCTATGACCACGTGAGGCTTTAGGGAGACATCTAGATATGAGCCAAAACAATATATGCCAAATTACTCAGTGCCACAATCCTAGACTGTATTATCCAGCCCCAGAGAAGCTAAGCTGCCCAAGGCTGCACATTTATTTCTTGGTGGAAATAACCGAAACTTAAAGTACCATGATACCAAAGCTACACAACTTTCCCTAAGCTGCATGTGAAAGTAGCAGCATTCTCAGGATCCTTCATTCCTTTTTGAGGCCATAGAAGTCACCATCACAGAGAAAACATGACTCAGAGTCTTTGTCATATACACATAATTGATACAATTGTAAAATATATTTATTTACCTGTTTATGTTTCATGATGCATTTTTCATTACAGAGGGTACAAAAGAAGTAGTATGTTGTGGTCTTTGCCTGAGGAGACTTTGTAGAGCTCCTACTCCAAACTGCATCAGCTGGCCCACCCTAAATGTGACATTTGGCAATACACTTTCATGGCCAGACCAGTGGAGAAGACTCTATAGAAAAGAGTCTGTAAATATCAGCTGCTTTCCTGACCAGCAACAACACGAAGGTTTGGAACACTGCTTGTTATTCAAAGTAGCCACAGATTTGTGAAGATTGCCCCTGAAAGGTGAAGTACTTTGAATATATGTTTAATGAATTCTCGACATATTTCAAAAGAAGCATTATATTATCAGAAACTTTAAAAATAGACCATGGGACATTTTCCCAGTTTAAAACATTCTCTTCACAAGTTATTTGCCCTTACTTGAGTCTTAAGGCAGTCATAATAATGTTAATGATAAAGGTTAAAATTCTTTAAGCACTCATTATTTGGTTAATTTTGTGCTAAGCCACTTTTTTGTATTGTCTCATTTACTTTCCACAGAAATCCCACGAGGAAAGCACATACCTTATTAAAGAGGAAAGTGAACCTGGGAAAGTTGAAAGATTCATTCAGCATTACATAGTGAGAAAGTTTAGAAATCTGGATTCAAACACAAACCTGTGTGATGACTCCACACGTGTGCTTCTTTAGGCAGAAGAAGCAAATCGTGCTGCACAAGTAACACTGGTCTTCATATCTGCCCAATGACAGCCTCATCGATGTATGCAAACTGCATTTTATATGAGGGCCCCTATGGAGCTGTGTCTGTCTGCACACATAAGGCTTATCTTATCTCTTTCCACTACTGTGCTTCTGTTTAACTTATAAGTCATACAATTTGTGTTCTTCCTCAATTTCCCTGGCTTTGAATATGAATGGCTTAATCCTTGCATCGGTCAAATTTCCTATTGTTAGAACAAAAATATTAGACCCCCGAAATAAAATAAATAAATAAATCAAAATAAGGAATTGAAATTAATAGACATTTCTCAAAAGTACAAAAGGTCAATAAATACATGAAAAAATGTTCATCCCTGGCCTTTGGAGAAATTCAAATTATAGAAAACACTGAGATTCTATCTTACTCCAGAAAGAATGGCTGTCTTCAAGAAATCAAATAATAACAAATATTACTGAGGCAGTGAAGAAAAAGGAACACTGTCTGTGGGAATGTAAACTAGTGCAACTACTATGGAAATCGGGATGGAGATTCCTCAAAAAACTAAAGCTAAAAATTTCATTTGACCCAGCTATTACCCTGCTTAGTATCTTTCCAAAAGAGTTGAAGATTTCATATTACGGTGATACATATATATCCATCTTTATAGAAACAAAACTCATAATAGGTAAATATTATAAGCAGCCTATCTGTCCATCAACAGATGAATGGATGAAGAAAGTGTACTATTTATAATGGAGTATTATTCCCTCAAATTTGAGTCTTTTTTTGGAAAAATGATGTACCTTGAGATCACATAAATCAGACATGCAAGTTTACAAGACATTTAGAGAACTATTGCCACTACTCTTCAAACTTTTCAGTGAAATTGAGAGAGAAGCAATATTCCCAAATTAATTTGGGAAGCAAGTATTACTTTGATTCTAAAACCAGGGAAAGACACAATCAAAAAAGAGAACTGTCACCCAATAACACTAATGAACATACATGCAAAAATCCTCAATATACTATATTGACAGAATCAAGGACAAAAACTGTATGATCCTCTCAATAGATGCATAGAGAGCATTTGACAAAATCCAACGTCCACTCATGATAAAAACAGAAAATAGGAATAGATGGTCTTTATCTCTCAGCTTTATAAAGACTATCTGTGAAAAGCCAACAGCCAACATCATACTAAATGGTAAAAAACTGAGTACCTTTATGATAAAATCAGGAAAGAGACAAGGATGTCCACTATCACCACTCCTGTTCAATACAGTTTTGGAAACATTATCTGTAACAATTAGACAAGAGAAAGAAATAAAAGCAATAAATATAGGAAAGGAAGAAGCTAAACTGTCACTATTTGCTGATGATATGATACTCTACATAGAAGACCCAAAAAAACTCTGCCAAAAGACTTCTAGACTTAATTGACAGATTCAAGAGTAGCTAGATTTAGGAAAGGAAGAAGCTAAACTGTCACTATTTGCTGATGATATGATACTCTACATAGAAGACCCAAAAAAACTCTGCCAAAAGACTTCTAGACTTAATTGACAGATTCAGCAGAGTAGCTAGATACAAGGTAAATACTCAAAAATCAATAGCCTACATGTACACAAATAACAGACTCACTGAGAGTCAAATTAGGGAAACAAATCCTTTCACAATAGCATCTAAAAAATGATATATCCAGGAATCAATCTAATGAAGGAGACAAAAGACCTCTACACTGAAAATTACAGCACTCTAAGAGATTGAAGAGAATAAAAGAAAATGGAAAAACCTCACTTGTTCCTGGGTAGGGTGAATCCTACCCAGTGAAAATGGCCATACTTCCAAAATTGCTATACAGATTCAATGCAATCCTTATTGAAATCCCAACAGCATATTTCATAGAACTAGAGAAAACAATCCAAAAATTCATTTAGAATAAGAAGATAATAGCAAAAGCCATTCTAGGCAACAGAGACATAGCAAGGGATAACACAATACCCAATTTGAAACTACACTACAAAGTCACTATGATAAAAACAGCATGTTACTGGAAAAGAAATAGACCTGAGGATCAATGAAATAGATTAGAAGATGCAGAAACAGCTCCTGAAACACTCAACTACCTCATCTTGACGAAAGAGCCAAGCACCCTCTCAGGAGGAAAGATGGCCTCTTTAATAAATGGTTTTGGAAAAACTGGATTTCAGCTTGTTAAAGATTAAAACTAGACCCGTATCTTTCACCATGTGCTAAACTAAAATCCAAGTGGATTAAAGATGTAAATATTAAAAGAGAAAAACTAAACTTGCCAGAAGAATGGGAAAAAATAAGAACCTGATACAGGTACAAGATCCCAATGATGAATGTAACTGTATTGTATACCTAATATTTACCAATAAGTTTAAGAAAGATAAAAAATTAAATATGTGAGGAACCTAAATTATAAATAATTTAAAGAGCCAAATAAAAATAAGTAGGAAAGCAGGAGATAGTGCTTTAGTAAATGACAACAGGACCAAGAAATGGAACAGGGAACAAGAATAGGGGAAGAGGAAGTATAAAGAATTAAGTTTTATTATGTACATATAACAACAATTCCACACTATGAGCATAATCACTATGTACTGCAAACATGTACTAATAAATATAAAAACATTACAAGAACAAAGGGACAAAAAATGGCCGAGAAAGAAACAGACTCTTTGGATGACTTCTTGCTCGAATTTGGCTGATACCGTTAAACCCTGACCATTTGTCAGGCTTAATTTTAGTGATAAAGCTTAGTTAGGATAGATTTTGCCTACCAGTTTATGAGCTGTCTCGATGGTGTCTTGGCATCTCTTACAAGACACTGGTGTGTTTCTAGACTGTATTCCAATTTCTAATGCACACAGGTGTGCTGCTATTCCCACCTTCCTGGCTTTTTGCTTCTCTTTGATGCAATTACCAGTTAAAAATGGCTGCCTACTTGCTGATTCATTCTTTATGAGTGACTGCACAATAAAATATAGGAATTCCTTACACTTTCTGTCCTTGCTCTCCTTACACTTTTCTTCTTTACACATTCTGCTTATTATCTCTTTGAGCAGCGGACTTTTTGACAGGAGACATGTTCTTCATTAAGTCCAGTGACTGATAGCAAGAAGGCAGGTGGCACCCAAAACACCAATAAAATGGATTAACTGCAAGAATGAGAAAGTTATCAATTTCTTAGAATGGCTTTTTAATGAAAACTCATTGAAAAGAATTAATTTTTTCCTGATGATTTTATTTCCTGCCTGAACAAAACTAATGTTTTATACTGTGTTCATAAAAGTCCTGCTGCTGGAGTTGGTCACAGATGGCTTGAATTTCCACCCTGGATCCTTTGTTTTGATAATATATGAGTAGTGAGACTCACTTCTCAAGTTTTCTGCTATCCACCACAGATCCTCTCTTCTGCCTTGATTTGCTGTCTTCTCTGTCAGGATGACAAGAACAAAAACAGCAATCAAAGTAATAATTTAAACCATACTTATTATGAGCCCAGAGCTTTCCTAAGCATTATACTTATATTAATTCATTTAATGCTTGCACACAACCTCCTTTATAACTGCAAAGAAGTTGAGGGCAAGAACTGCTAGTCAGAAAAATTATAGGAATCATTGTTAGACTATAGAGACATTTAGTGACAAAAATTATTCTCAAGAGAGGACTGTTTTAATAATGTCTGTAGACATATTTGGTTCTCTTAATTGGAAGTGATGCTACTGGCATCTAGTATGTACAGGCAAGGGAAGTTGCTAAACATTCTAAATTATATAGACCAACTTCCCACATCAGAGCCATCAATAATGGTACAGAGGCTGAGAAAATCTGGTAACATGTCATATAAATCCTCTTGTCTGGATTGCCTTAATTCAAATCCTGCATCTACAACTTATTTTCTATGACTTTAGAAAAGAAAAGTTACTTAATCTCTTTATGCCTAAGTGCAGGCATGTTTTTCCTTCTCTGTGTGCTGAGAACACACCAGCTGTGGAGAGAGATGCCGTCTCAGATGAAACCACAACAGGCTCCCTTCTCAGTAAGTACTTCAACTGTTGTGATGATACAGGGAAAACAGGACAACATCAGCTTGGAAAGTATGGATGGAAACAGCAAGGTTTCCAGCACAGGATATACAGAGCAATATAAAAGCACAGGATAGAGAAAATTCAAAAGAAGGTGCAAAAACTATGACGAAGAGATGTGTCATTGAAACACACTCAAGGTTGTTTTCCCTAAACTTCATTGTTGGCCAAAATAGCACATTCTCTTTAGGATTAAGATGGAGAAAAACTGTTTATTTAGAGTTAAGATCTGATTGCATGCTCTCAAGACTTCTATCAAAACAAATAAGAGGCTCAATTTGTCTTCCTAAGGCCAAAAGTTCTCTACTAAACAGAATAGCAGCTAATATATAAAGTATCTACTACATACCCAATACTGAGCGAAGCACTTTGCATACATGCCTGCTTACAGGTTAATGTCACGATAGTCATCTATGAATTGAGGCCCAGAAAGAGCACTAGCTTGCTTGAGTTATCCAACAAGTGAGTTAGATACATATCTAGCCTCTGCTTTCCCACTTCTATGTTCTTTGCATTCCCCACTAGTGAAAAGTCAGTGAACTTTGTATGCCTTCCTCTCAAGTCATCGGTGTTTGACACATGTATGTATGTATGTATGTATGTATTTATGTGGTGGGGAGTCTACTGTGGTTTCAGTGAGACTTCAAAAATTTCATATGTTGGAAACAGCTCTCCAAATTGTGTGTTGATGATATTTGGAAGTGAAGTTTTGGAGAGGTGATTAGAGTTGAATGAGCCCATGAGGGTTCCATCACCATGAGATTAGTGGCTTTATGTTATGACTTGTATCTAGAGGTCCCCCCAAAGCCTCATGCAGTCACAGGTGGGGCTTTTTGGAAGTAGCTAGAGCTAGAGAATGTGATGCTTAGATCAAGGACATGATGCTGGGTTTGGTTCATGCTGTGATGTAGGATTAAGGCTTCCCCAACCTGGGTGTGAGTGCTACCTGCCCTACGGGTAAGTAGCCTGAGTAGAATATAAGAGAAAGAAAGAAGGTTGCTACTTGTCACTTGCTGCTTGATGCCTTCTGCCCTCTATGAACTATTTCTCTTCTGCAATACCTCTCTGCCATGCCACTCTGTCTTGGAGCCAGACAACTATGAACTGAAACCTCTACAAACTGTAAGCCAAATAAACCTTTTCTCTTTTAACTTTGAATGTTGGATATTTTGCCACAGCAACAAGCAAAGTAACTAAGATACTTTATAAGATGAGGAAGAGATGTTCAAGATTGTATGCTTGATTTATTGTCGTGTGATGGCTTCTGCAATCACAACACCAGAAAGCCTTCATCAAATGCCAGAACATTGATACTGGATTTCCTTTCTTCCAGAACTGTAAGAAGTAAATCTGTAATTACTCTCAGTTATCCTGAAATGGAAAAAAAATGGACTGAGACAGATTCCCACTTGGAACTTGAGTTGGGTGAATGATACTGATTCAAATATGCTGGGCATTTCTGAGTAGACCTGCTAGATAATTTCAAAAGAAAATGGAGAACCTTTTCTGAAAGTAAAATACAGTTTGCTGTGTCCAGTCTGGTGCCTTAAGGATTACAGTGGTAAAGAGCAATTCTAAATGCAGAATGATGTCTGTCCCCTATTTTCCTAGGATGTCTTCTCTGAGGCTGCTGAGTTTGTATTAATCCTATGGCAAGCAAGGGAGCAGTGAGTAAATTTTAAAGTGATTTGGTCTCAGCAAAATTTTTCAAAAGCTTGTGCTCAGGGAGCACAACAATGTTATCTACCTAACAGAATGTGAAACAAACAGAACACTGGAGCATATGACATGTGAAGAATTCTGGTGCCTCAGCTGAGGAGAAAATAGCTATTGTGGGAGGTCATGGCAACATCATCAGATGCCTAGGGGGAAAGGCAGCAAAGGGGGAACCTGGTGAAAGTGGGCATGAGAACCTCACTGGCAACACACTAGAACTTCTGTGGAAGTATGTTTTCAAGCAAGAGCCCATGAGCTCTTATTTGTGCTGTTACTACATTTGTATGTACTGGCCAGGAAACGGATGGTACTTAAAATTTCACAAAGATTTCTGTGCCTCAAAATGCTAACAAATATGGCAGTTTGTTACACTTTTCTTTCAATCCTTCAAGTTGGCATTTTCCCCTGGCATTTTACACTATGCTTCTCAAAAACCTGCAACACGTTGCTAGAAATAATATACTTACAGAACAGCCTGAAATGCTGGTAGAATGGTCTCATCATGTAATTTATGAAATACCTCAGTATCAGCCAAGGCATTCACAGCAACCAAAACATATTAGTTTTAAATGAAATTATGTGTTTTTACCACAACTACTATATTTATATTGAAGCAGTCTAAGTATAAATGAAGTCTACAAAAATGTCAGGCAAAGCACAACTTCCAAAGTTATACAATCTTTGGCAAATGTTTGAATGGCAGGCTCATGCTGGGTCTTAAAAAGTTGGGAAAGAGCTTTCCCAAAGAAATTCAAGCAAAGTGAATTCTATTTACTGAATTTACTTATCCAGTATCATGACTCTTTACGTGTACCTGGCACTGGACTAGGTAATGAAAGTGTTATCTCTTATAATTCTGGGGCTAGCCTGGCCACATCTGGATAGTTCTAATGTCCTCACCCAGAATATCTCCTGTGGCTTAAACTAGATCTACTTACTTATCTCAGGTACTGGCAGGGTTGGCTGGAGGTCTGATATATCTCTCTCTTTTTTTTCTCCATATGGCTTAATAATGGGACTTAGGATTATTTAAATGGGTTTCTTATCCTACATCTCAACAATAAAAAAGCAGAAATTGCTGTCTTCTGAAGCCATAAACTTAGAACTGGCAGTATCACAACCATCATATCCTATGAGTTGAAAGGAATCACAAGGCCAGCCCAGATTCAAAATATGAACAACATAAAGAGCCACAAACACTGAAAATGTAACCTTTTGAGGGCTACTTTTGGAGATAGCCAAGATAATGCCAGCGACAGAAAAGTAGGGAATGTGAGTTCTGAGTTTACACAGATGAAGAAAGCTAGCTTAAAAATAGATTAAAGCATGTTAACTAGCATGTAACCATCAGACACTCCCAAATACATAAAGTTATATCCATGCATGAATTCTTTCTTACATTCTGAAAGAGGTATTCTGTGACAAAGAATTGGATGTGGGTGGTCTTAGGTTTTCCATCCTAAAAATATGTGCCAGTTAATGATAGCATTGTGTCATTATCTGAAAAGAAAAACGTGACCTTATTTATTTGGAAGGCAAGTGTGAGGAGAAAGAGAGAAAAACTTAAAGATGGGGAGGCTGAGGAAGTACTTACTGAATGCCTTGCCTTCTTGGGCAATTAGAATTATTAGAGTTGATAGATAAGAACAGGGTTGTGTTTAACATATTCCATGGAGAATGGGCAATGGCTCCAAATAAAGGGACATAAAGTGCTGAGAAGCTTCTGGCCCAAGGGACGCTGGACTTACAAACACATAGGAGAGTCCATTGGTGCAACTCTGTAGTTTTCTCCTACACAGCACATTGGCAACTTGGTGTAGAAACAGAAGTCAGTAGTTAGGTCCTTAGAATGGAATGAATTATGAGTATTGCAACTTGAGCTCCTTCTTCAGGGAAGACTTTGTAGAGATACCTTGAAAATATTGAAGGTATTACACTTCAGGGTCCTTGATCTGTCAGCTGCCTAAAAGGGAGTATTCAACTTCCTCCTATAGGTGAATGATACCCATAAACCCTCCCATGTAAAACAGGGCTTACAGGGCTTGTTTCACCTGACATCAAAGTGGAAAGGTTACTTTATACATTTATTTCTGTGATGTTTTCAGAGGGACAATTTATAAAGTGTTTTTAAAGATAATTTTTACTATGTGAGCAATGCATGTTTATTAAGAAAATCTGAGTGGGTTCCAGGACCCTATATCCAGAACCTCTGTCCTGTAAATGCCAGTGCCCCCAGAGCTTGCCACTCAGGCCAAGCACTATCTGAATTCACACTGCAGAAGCACTAAAGGGTCATAAAGGCCATGGCTATTAGCCCCAGAAGATAGAGCAGAAGTGAATAACAGAGAGGGCCTCTCTGAGGCTCCTCAATGAAAACGGAAGCCTACTGGGAAAGTGAAGAAAGTCTCTGCAATAAAGGCACATTGGATCACCACGGTTGGTAAATTGGTGGGATCAGCAATGCCCATAGAAACCTTGGCTCACTTCAGGGGAAGGACAGCTGGAGCCTGCAGTAGAACTTGCAGTAGAACCTTGCAGAGTTCAATCCTGCAGGAGGTCAGGGACCTCAGCTTGGGCCATGCAGCCAGAAATCAGGCTGAATCTCACTGAAGTACAGCTGGCTTGTTGAGACTGATTATCTTAGATCTGCACACTGCATGTTGTCTACCAGGACAACAGAGACATTCCCTGAGAAAAGCCCCATTTAAATTTTTTTTTCTTTTTTCTTCTCTTTTTCTCTCTCTCTCCCTTCATGTTCTGCATTTCTCTCCCTCTTTGTTCTGTTCCTGTTCTGTCTTGGATTGCTAGTCTTTCTCTTCCCTTTTCCCTACTATGACTATAGTTATAGGAAAATGAATACACTTTCTAGTTTCCCAATGGCTGCTTGTTCTGTTCTTATCTATGTTCCCTTGCTCTGCCTTTTCCTCAAAAGTCTCCCAAAATTTGTGTGATCTTCCTGTGTCTTCTAGCTTCCTCAAGGGAACAACCCAACAGGAAGAGATGACAATCATAAATATATATGCACCAAACAGTAGTGTTCCCAACTATATAAAACAAATATTAGTGGACATGAAAAACCAAATAAACACTAATACAGTTGCAGTGTGGGACCTCAATACTCCATTGTCACAGATAGACAGATCATCTAGGCAGAAAATCAACAATGAAATAATAGAACTAAAACAAGCCTTTGAACAAATGGACTTAATAGATGTCTACAGAGTTTTCCACCCCACATAATCACAATGTATATTCTTTTTGGATGCACACAGGTCATTCTTCAACATAGACCACATGCTAGCTCATAGGACATGTTTAAGTAAATGCAAAGAAATTGAAGTTATCCCTTCTATATTATCAGACCATAGTGTAATTAAATTGGAGATCAACAGCATAAGAAGCAGCAAGAACCTCACAAACATGCAAATTGAATAACACCCTCCCAAACAACCAATCAGTCACAGAGGAAATTAAGAAAGAAATTAGACAGTTTCTACAATTAAATGATAATTCCAATACAACATACAGGGATCTATGGACTTGATGAAAGCAGTTATATGAGGGAAATTTATAGCAATGAATGCCCACACTAGGAAAACAGAGAGAGCCCAAATAAACAACCTAATGTTAAACCTCAAGCTCCTAGAAAAAGAAGAGGAGGAGAAACCCTAAGGTCATACAAGGGAGAAAATTATAAAGATTAGATCAGAAATCAATGCAATGGAGACTAAGAGAATGATACAAAAAAAATCAATGAATCAAAGCATTGGCTTTTTGAAAGAATAAATAAAATAGATAAACCCATAGCCAACCTTATTTTTAAAAATGAAAGAAAAGGCTCAAATCCATTCAATTAGGAACAAAAAGGTGAAGTCACAAAAGAGCCAGCAGAAATCCAGAGGATCATCAATATCTACTTTAAGAACCTATACTCGGGCTGGGGATTTAGCTCAGTGGTGCCACAGCCTGCCTCAAAAGCACAAGGTACTGAGTTCAATCCCTTATTCTATGTAGAAGACCAAAAAAACTCTGCCAAAATACTTCTAGACTTAATTAACAGATTCTGTAAAGGATCTGGATACAAGGTCAACACTAAAATATTAATAGCCCTCTTGTACACAAATAACAGATTCACTGAGAGAGAAATTAGTGAAATAATTCCATTCACAATAGCATCCCCCCAAAATGAAATATCTAGGAATCAACCTAAAGAAGGAAGCAAAGGACCTCTACATTGAAAACTACATCATTCTGTACAAAGAGATCAAAGAGGAGATAAGAAAATGGAAAGACATCCCTTGTTCCTGGATAGGAAAAATCAATATTGTGAAAATGGCCATGCTTCCTCAATGCTATATAGATTTAATGCAATCCCAATCAAAATCCCAAAAGTATATTTCACAGAGCTACAGAAAAAAATCCAAAAATTCATTTGGAACCAGAAGAGACCTAGAATAGAAAAAGCCATTCTAAGCAAGAGAGACATGGCAGGGGGTATCACAATCCCCAACTTGAAACTATACTACAAAGTTACTATGATAAAACAGCATAGTACTGGCAAAGAAACATACCCAAGGATCAGTGGAATAGATTAAAAGATGCAGAAACAACTCCAGACATACTCAGCCACCTCATCTTTGACAAAGGAGCCAAATATTCTTACTGAAGGAAAGATAACCTATTTAATAAATGGTATTGGAAATACTGGATCTCAATCTGCTAGAGATTAAAACTAGAGTCATCTATTGCCAAGCACTAAACTGAAATCGAAGTGGATTTAAGATCTAAATGTTGAAACAGAAACACTAAACTTGCTGGAAGATAAGTTAGGTAGAACTCTTGATGATATCAGCATAGGAAAAGACTTTATGAACAAATCCTTAGTAGCATGGGAATTAGTACAAAGAATCAACACCTGGGATCTCATTTTTTAAAAAACCTGCACTGCAAGAGAAATCACCAACAGAGCTAAGGGAAAACCTACAATCTAGGAAAAATGTTTTGTCAGCCATTCCTCACACAAAGGACTACTATCTAGAATATAGAAAGAACTTTAAAAAGTCAGACTCTCTAAATTTAAAGACCCAATTAAAAAAGGGGCATCTGAAATGAACAGACATTTCTCAGACAAAGAAGTAAAAGCAGCAAATAAATATATGAATAAATGGTCAAAGTTACTGGTCATTTGATTGATGCAGATGAAACCAACACCTCACCCCAGAAAGAATGGCTGCTATCAAGAAATCAACCAATAACAAATGTTTAGTATCTTCCCCAAAGAATTAAAAGAATCATACCACAGCAATGTATGTATGTGTGTATACACCCATGTTAGTGGCATAATCTGTAATAGCTAAAATTTGAAAACAGCCTAAATGCTCATCAACTGGAGGGATAAAGACGTGTAGTTTTTAAAATATATATACAATGGAGTACTACTGAGCCATAAAGAATGAGAAATTAGAGACGTTTACAGATAAATGGACACACACTGAGGTGACACTCTTAAGTCAAATAAATAGGACACACAGGTAAATACTGAATAGTTTCTTTGGTGTGAGAAACTGAAAGTGTAAGTAAGGATTAAAATGAATAATTGATAATGTGAAATAGGAAGAATAGGTCCAAAGTGATAGGGGAAGTAGAGAGGTGGGGAAAGGAAAAATATGAGAAAATAAAAAATGGAAACAAAGTGTTTGTAGATAGGGAGAGGTGGAGGGGTTGAAGAGAGGGCAGTGAAATTAAAAAAAATAATAACCAAGATCCATCATGTAAAGGTACAAGTTCCCAATGATGAATGTAAATGTACTGCATATATAAAAATGTACCAATAAAATAATTTAAGAAAAAAAGAAAATCTAAAATTGTAGATGAAAAAGAAAATCTAAAATTATAGTAAGTATTCATCTCAGCAACAATTGTCAACAATGTAAGGCAGATTCCACCTTTTTTTTCCTGATGGATTTACAAAATTACTGTAAGTGTGTGCAGGGCAGTGCCTCACATTCAAAATTAGTTATAGAATTTGGGAGGGGCCATGAAAAATGAAAATGTGGGGACATCATTCATATGTTAAGAATTTCAAGATGGAAATAATAGAGTCTAAAACCCATTGAGGATTCTTTTAAGTGAGTGCATAGGTTGTACAATCGTAAGGTTGATCCCGCTTATACCTTAATCTCTAATATAAACAATTTATTGGCCATGGGACTTTCTCCTCTTCTCCCTTCTCTTAGCTTCAAGGACAGCTCTGAGGCTGCCAAAATGTTTACAGCCACAGACATGGCTAAGGCCAGTCTAAGGGATGGTCCTCATGGCAAAATAGGTGGTTTTAGGTAGCTTGTTTTCAGATATTTCTCATTTTCTCTATTAGATACCAGCTTTTCTTCCTTTATTTTTTATGAGTACATATTTTTAGGATATAATGTTTATGCTCCTTGTGGGGAGTTAGTACATACACACAGCATATCTTAATTTTTTCATCTCCTTCCGCCCGTCCTTTCTTCCATCTCTTGGTTCCCTTCCCATTTGAAAAAGACTTAGCACCCAACTTTCTATTATCTGTCTTTTATTTTGCTCTTTATTTATATTTTGAATTTTTCTTATGAGACAAACCTTGTAAGATTTAAGCTGTGTCTGATTTATTTCTTTTAATATAATGGATTCAAGGTGTATCCATTTTCCTTATAATGAGTCAATTTTATCTTTCTTTATGTTAGAGGGGCACTCCATTGTGTGTAAATGCCACATTTTAAAAATCCATTAATCTGTTGATGATGGATACATAAGCAGCTTCCAAGATTTAGCTATTGAGAATTGTGCTGCAATGAACATGGGTATGCATGTATCACTGTAATATGATGCTTTTAACTCTTCCTGGAAGACACTAAGTGAGGAATAGGCAGGTCAAAT